GGGGGTTGTGATAACTGTTAGTGTCTGGTCTCCAGACTGATTTCAAAGGAAAGCTAGAAGGGAGGGGTCACCATTTCTTTGTGGCCTCTTTTCTTTGATGTTTGGCATCAGGCCACAGAGACCCCAGGTGAGCTAAGCCTGAGCTTTTGAAAACTTGCCTCCTTGTGGCGTTTTCACTGGATGAAGCAGAAACTGTTTGTTGAGGAAACACTTGTCTTTCCAGAGGCCATTCTTTCTCTCTGCTACTCTGCAGGCTCTGACGCGAGTCTCCCAGTGTGTGGGCTCCAGGCCATTGCTTCTGCTCTTACCAATTGAAGGCAGGTTGTCACCCATTATATTCCAATGAAAAAATAACATTTGTGTTTTAGCAATTATAAATATAATAATACAAGTTCATTGTGGGAGATCTGTAAAAGATAGAAAAGCATAAAGAATTTTTAAAAACAACTCTTTTTCAGCATCAGGGTGTTTTTAAAAGTTTTGTGTCTCAGTCCCCTCTAGCCAGTACCACCAGGAGCACACTTGTAGTCAGAGTTGTTTATTTTCTTGATGCTTCGAGGGACAGCTCTGGGGCAACTCTGGGCTGGCCTTGACTGGTCTGGGGAGGATTCAGAGAAGTGGGGCCTTGCCCTGCGCTGGATGCTGTCAGGAAGCAGGGCTTATTCTGTGATTGGGCCTCAGTAATTCCTGTTTTGAACGCAGAAAAATGGAATGGGGCTAAAGCTCTAATTGGTAAAGAAGTAGCAGGATATTAGCCAGGATAAGAGGATGTTTGGTCATTTTTGTGTCTTTGACAATGTTCTTGTGTTTGTCTGTGTTGAGCCAGTCATGGAGTGGTCTGTATGTCCTTGATCCATCCGCCTCTGAGTGGCCTTGTCTAACCTGATGCGCTGTGGAATGGCTCACGTTCATTGGGAACACCAAGGCCCAGATGTGGTATCAGGCCAGGTCTGTCAGGGGCCCCGCTGTCAGTGCTCTGCCCCACATTCAGTCAAGATTCAACCCACTCTTGGGCATCTTCTCCAGCTGTAGAATTCTACCGATTAATTCAGGAAGTGTTTTTGAGTACTCATGTGCCAGGTCCCAGTCTCCTTTCCTGTGCCTGCTTAAATCTGGACACTACATTCATTTCTCCGGTATGGGCATAAGAGCTGGCAGTGTTGTTACAGAGACAGTCATCAGATCTTGTTGTTTTGGGCAGTGCTAGTACAGGAAGTCTCTCATTTTGCAATAACTTGTTTCCAAGAGGTTTCATGTCTGTTGTTTAGTCCTCAGAAACACCTTTTTTCTATAGGAAGTATTAGGAGTGGTAGTTGGGATCCTACTCACCTTCATAAAAGCATATTCCATCTGTCATTCATCTGAGAGGTGGCACTTCTGGCTGTTCAGTGTGCGTGGCAATAAGGAAAGAGAGACCTGGGCACTGCTTCGGCTGCGGCCAGTGTTTGTTTGGGTAGTGGGCAGAAAGGAAGTCCTCATAACACAAGAGTTAGTGGCAGAGTTGTACCTACAGGGTCAGCAGGTGAGGTCAGGGTATGAGGCCATCTGGGTGGAGTTTGGGGCAGAGTGGGGAATACATGCCCCTTGCCTGGGGGAAGCCTGTACCCCAACTCCTACCAGCTGCTGCCCTACTGGTCAAGTTGGCCAAGTTGGCCTCAGATTTTAAGAGAAGCCAGAAATCGGATTCTTTTCTATGAACGCTCCTGAGCTGTCAACGCTGAGTCAAGTCTGTTTTAAATGCAGTGTATACTTGGACTAAGCAAAACACATCTGGAGGCCAGATTCAGCCCAGTGGCTTTCAGAAGTAACCCGGGCCTGGTACTGTGACCCTGGTGACCCTGTGTCTTCTCCCTGGCAGGAAGAGATGTCAGGAGAAAGCGTGGTGAGCTCAGCGGTGCCAGCAGCTGCTACCCGCACCACTTCCTTCAAGGGTACAAGCCCCAGCTCCAAGTATGTCAAACTGAACGTGGGGGGTGCCCTCTACTACACCACCATGCAGACGCTGACCAAGCAGGACACGATGCTGAAAGCCATGTTCAGTGGGCGGATGGAAGTGCTCACCGACAGTGAAGGTAAGCCCACCCTCAAGGTGCTGGGGACGCGCCTGTCAAGGGCTTCATTCTAGCTCAGAGAACCGCCAGGAAATGGGCAGTTGTCCACACAGCTACAGGTCTTGAGTTGTGCTCAGTTTCATGGTGTTCAGGGAACCTTGAGAATGACTAACAGGGAGACTAAATCTCGTCTGGGGTGTGTGGTCAGGGGGCGCTTCCTGGAGGAAGTGACATTTAAGCTGAGATCTGAAGACAAGTAGAAGTTGGCTGGATGGTACTCACAGTCTTGACTTCATTGTTGATTTGCTTGGTGAAGTTGTCGATTTGCAGTGTGACTTTGAGAAAGTCACTTTCCCGCTCCAGGCCTCAGCTCTGTTAAATGGAGGCTGGAGTAGCTACCCTAGTTGGTTCCCTTCCTGTTGGCACAGCAATGAGTCTCTTGACTTCAGAGTGAAACTCAAGTGTGAGTCATGAGCCTTTTCTCTGCACACTTGTCCTCCTAAGATGGGGTCATGACAAAGACTCACAGACCTGGAATTGAGTCACAGCTCCCCATGTAGTAGCTGGCGATCCTAATCAAGGTGGCTAACCTGTTGATGTCTCATTTTACCCATCTGATGGAATAAATGGGCACAGTGATACCCACCTCATGGGCTGTTAGCTCATAGTAAGTATTCAGTATACTATGTATATTCCATTCTTTTTCTTTTTCATGTGGAAAGTCATGTTAGTTAAAAGGCAAAGATTTGTCTAAAATCATCTTACTATAACCTCTTCCTATCCACCTGACCAAAGAGTGCCTAACAAAGGGGGACGTCCTTGCCTGGCTGGGCATAGGGGGCAGATCCCATGTGGTTTACATTCCTTGGCCTGAGATTGCTTGAGACCAGGCTAGACCACAGCCTGGCTTGACCCAACTTACCTGTTTCTGAGGCTGGCCTCCATGCCGATGCCCCTGCCTGCCCAGGGACTGGATCCTGAGAGGGTGGGCAAGTTTTGACACAGTAGGTGAGATGGGGGTCCTAAGCCTGGCGTGCATAGTACATTCTATGGTCCTAAAAAGGCTGAAGCGTGGCTGTCACTAGTTGGGGTGTTTCTCTCTGCATCCTGGAGAAGCCAGGCTTCAGGGCTGCAGTTCCTCTTCTCTGGGCTTCCCGTGAACTCGGCTTTCCAGAACTGCCTTCTGTCTCACTCAAAAAGAAAAAAAAAAAAGCTTTTTATGAGTGGGAGGTTCTCCTTTGCTGTACCACACCCAGCATTGCCCAGAGTATTTGTGGAAATCCAGACAATGGCACCCCAGCTGCAGGAGGAAACTGACCTTATCGAAGAACCCAGGATTGTTGTGGTTTTTCTTCTACCCTACCCAGCCTCGGTGGGGCTCAGGAAAAGCGCTGAGTTGCTTCAGAAGCAAAGAGGAAGCCTCCTCTCCTTGAAAGCCCTCGCCCTGGTGGCCTAGTGCTCATCCCAAAAGAGACAGAGCCCTTAAGCTCCTTTGTCCCTGAACTGGGAGATGTATGGGAGTGGTACCAGGGGACCTACTGAGGTTCTAAAGAGCTGCGAGAGGATGTCCTTTCCCCTCACTTCCTGGAAGATCTCCAGCCTGTTGAAGGGACCACCGGACCCCAGGCTGCCCTGATGTGTACAGCTTTCCTAAATGGCCCGTGTGCTCTGTGGCAGCAGGAAAGACTCCCCACGAGCTTGACTTCCTTTTGCTTTTCTGTGTGAGAGGCTGTTTCAAAAGGATAGATTCCTGCTTTGAAAGCAACTAAAATACTTTGAAGTCAAAATGCTAATTGAAACCTCAGGGAGAATGCGCCTGGCTCCTTTGCCCTTATTTGTCTAAAGTATGATTCCTTTGCCACAAGCATTTCCTGACGGCATTCTTGAGCCAGAGCCCAGTGTGACGGTCCGCCTGTTCGTTTATGGAAACTCTGTGACAGTCCAGAGTAACTGAAGTCACTTGAGTAATTGATTTCAGGGGCCCCCACGCTTTCCAAGTAGCTGAGTTGTCCATGCAAAGACAGAATGGGGTCGTTTTCTCCCTGGAGCAGCTTGGCTGAGATGGTTGCCATTTCTCTTAAGGACTGAGGTTCTACTTTTCTTCTCACCCGCCTTCCCAATTCCCCTAAAATAGTTTTCCTATGTTTGTTCTTTGTGGTCTAGTTCTGCCTCCCCAGCTTGGGAATATCACCGAACCTCTCTGGGCCTCTGTGGAAAGTTTTCATCTGTGGAAAGTTCAGGGGATGAGCCTCCCTCCTAAAGACCTGCTGGGAAGATAACACTGTCTTTCCTCATTGCATCAGCTTGTTGGAAGAAAAGCCCTAGCTCCAGGGTAGAGGTTGCAAGCTGGGGGCTCGCAGGCCCAGTGCAGCCTGCAGATGTGTTTCGATTGCCTTATAAATGGGTTAATGACAGGTTTAAAAAAATTAGTTTAGCATTTTTTAAAAATCAGGAGATTTCACAAAAATCTGCAGTTTTGCGATCTGTTCCTTTGCTTGGAACATCAGAGGCTCACACAGCCCTGGGCCCGCATTTCTGCCTGGCCACTCTAGGCTGGAGCAGGAAGACCCCTCCCTCCTTCCCCAACACCCGAAGTGGGTAGGGCACTGCTCTTTGATAGGCCCTCAGCCCTGCCCACCTGCACGCATTCATCCTGCCTGCTGAAGGCCCCCAGAGGCTTCTGACCTATGTGACAGATACTAAGTCCATACTTTGTTTTCTCAATTGTAGAAAGAAGGGTTGAGATAACGACCAGCAGACACGTCAGGGTCATGGATATACCTCTCCTTCCTCATAGCCAGGGTTTGACCCTAGGCCGCACATTGGTGTCAGGTCTGCCCTAATTGCGGATCATTTTCCCCACTTAGGAAACCACAGCTGTGATAGACAGTAAGAGCCTGAGACCAGATGAGGCCAGGTATGGTGGTTTCCAGCCAGCAAGTTCTGAGGCTGTGACCTTGCTGCCCAGGCAGGGCCTAGTTAGCCCTTTGGTGGTGTCGCCCTGTGTGGTCCTGCTTTCCCTGGAGGTGAAAGGAGCCAGGAGACACCCCAGCTCTCCTCGGGGCCTTCCCAGGGAGGAGTGCCTGTGTAACGAGCCCTTTCCCTCCTCCTCCCACTGCAGGCTGGATCCTCATTGACCGCTGCGGGAAGCACTTTGGTACGATACTCAACTACCTTCGCGACGGGGCAGTCTCCTTGCCCGAGAGCCGCCGGGAGATCGAGGAGCTGCTGGCAGAAGCCAAGTACTACCTGGTCCAGGGCCTGGTGGAGGAGTGCCAGGCAGCCCTGCAAGTAGGCATCACCCTTTTTTCCCATAAGGGTAGGGAGGCCCCAGACCTACCTGCCTTCTTCACTTGTCCCCTCTGCAAAATGGGGCACTTCCTACCTCATTGACCTCTTGTGAGAGTTTATGAGTTAACCCTGGAGCCTCTCCCCTTGGTCAGAGTGACCCCCAAGAGGCTTTTCTGTAATGTGTAGGTCACCTAACTACTTTGTGGTTTATTTCAGTCTGCATGGTGTTGGGTCATCTTGCGTGTACATTGAAACCCTTTAGTACTGAGCCATGGGTCATAATACTTCATCTGTTTTCTAGTCCCATCTTGGGACTTATTCTCACCCCATGAGTTATCGTTGGGAGCCTAGCATAGTCTCTGCAGACCCAGACACCCCTCCTGCCTCAGCTGGACCTGGGACAGGAACATCAGGGTCAAGTGTAGTGACAGCAAAGTCCCTGTAAAACCAGAATGCTTCTAGACATAGCCAGTGGCCATTTATGTCAAAGTTCCAGCATGGCAGAGAATCACAAGAGTCCCTTTGGGTTGTCCTAGGAATTGGATCTGTATAAGTGAAGCTCTTATTTGGGTGTCTCCCAAGCCACATGTCTGTCTCCATTGGACCAGCACCCACAATGCCTTGCTCCTCAAGGAACTACTTCCACACACCACCTCTGCCCTGAGAGTCTGTAAATTCACTGGAAATCTAACCAAATGTTGTAGCCTTTACTTTAGTGTTTTTATTTCATTTTTATGTGTATTTAAGTAATACATGTATATCATTTAAGAAGTCACATAGTATATGTGGTGGTTGTCAAGAAAACACTATAGCCCGGCCTGCATGGCTAAGTGGTTGAGCATCGACCTATGAACCAGGTGGTCACAGTCTGATTCCCAGTCAGGGCACACACCTGGGTTGCAGGCTCCATCCCCAGTAGGGGGTGTGCAGGAGGCCACCAATCAGTGACTCTCTCTCATTATTGATGTTCCTATCTATCTCTCCCTCTCCCTTCCTCTCTCTGAAATCAATAAAAACATACAAAAAAATAAAAGATAATTTTAAAAAAAACACCAGTGTATATGCCCTTTTCCCCTCACACCCCAGGCAGCCTCTTTTAATTCTTTCAGCAGTTATTTGTTTTCATACTTATTATATTATTTATTGATATTTCAGTTTTCAACATTATCTACAGGATTACTATAGAAAATTTAAATTTAGCTCATGCACTGCCACCATCCCCAACCACTGCCAAACTTACATACACATGTGTTTTCTCCTGTTTACCAGTATAGGTTATCACAGTTTCACTAAATTGGTATTCAGAGTTTACATTGGGATGTCTGTGCTGTTAACAGTTGAGCCACAGAATGTAGGCTATTTTCTTTCTAGTGTAACTTTTCCCAGAGTTGGTAGTTGCTTCCTCGTTTTGCTTACATGGTTTTCTACGTGCACATCCCTAGTTCAGCCCTAAGATCTCGGAAAGCTTAGTCTCCTGTCGGTAGGTACAGGCCCATTGGTGAATCTGATTCATCTTTGTCTTGGAGACAGGCCCTTCGGGTTTCCTGTATGTGGTTTTCATTAGTCTGAGGTTAAACTTCCAAGACTGACCTCCCAGTTTCTGTCACTGTTATCTTCCTGTTCTACTTTCTCAGAGGTTTTATTTTGTTTGTTTTTATTTTTCCCCCCATTTTATTTTTTTCAACCCTTTTATTGAGTTTTTTACTTTTGCTGTCACATTTCTAACTTCCAAGAGCCTTTCCTTGTTTTCTAATGCTGTTGTTTATATAGCAGGCTGATACTGTTTCATAGGACAAAATATTGTTTCATAGGATGCAATGTTGTTTCATAGGTCGCAATCTTGTTTCATAGGATGCAGTCTTGTTTCATAGGATACAATGTTTCACAGGGTGCAATCTTGTTTCATAGGATGCAGTCTTGTTTCATAGGATACAATGTTTCATAGGGCGCAATCTTGTTTCATAGGTCACAATATCTGCTGTCATCTGTCTGGTGATGCTGGTATTCAAAGTTTTCTTTCTGCTGCTTTCCTTGTCTGACTCCTTCCCTTACCTTTTCTCTTTGATCTCATGTTTGACAGGCTTTGCACATATCATCTGATGATCCTTGGCCTGTTGAAATTTAAGAATGAGGCTCTGAAAAGCTCTATGCGTGTGGGTGGTCCTTGTTGTCCAGTGGGCTTCAGTGGTGAATGACAGGCTCACTTTCCAGTAGGAACCCCCAGTGTCATATCTGTAGGCCATTTTTTGGAGGTCAGTTTCCGGTGGAGGAATCCTCCACTCTTGCCTGGAGGGGATCAGCCTGACTCACTGCCCTCTGGGATCTGAAGAGAGGAAGGGGGCCGGTGGGGGTGTAGACTATTCACTTAGTCCCTCTGTTTTCAGAATAGCAACTCAGCCCTGTATAAAGCACTCCAGGAACATGGACCTTTCTCTTGCCAGGCTGGGGAAGGGACTCCATCCGGGGGTCTCTCCGGTGCTGTTGCCACCTGGCAGGCGATCCTCTCCTTTTGCCCTGTGAGCTGTTCTTTGAAAATCTCCAGGATTCTTTCCCCCCTGCTGACTTAGGTTCCAGCTGTCTCCTCCTCCTTGGTTATCACTCATCTGGGATCTGTTCTCTAGCCTCGAGTTTTTTATATCTTTTTGTCTGCTGACTTCACTTCTCTCACTGTTTCTTTTCTTATGGGCTTATACTTTTTTTATTCTTCTGCAGTCATTGCTATGGGGTTTTAGGAGCTTTGATGCAGTCGTATTTCATCTGCCATGTTTAGGGTTTATGTTTGAGTGGTTCCCTAGGCTGTGGAAATGTGTCATCATTGCTAGTATTTACTGAGCACCTGGCATATAACAACAGCCCTGGCCAAGAGCAGACTTGCTGGAGAATTTGGCTCCTGGTCGTCCCCCCATCCTAACTCACTGGTGGTAAGAATTCTCCTCTCTTCCCACCCATGACTGCCCACCTGCCCTCGCCGGAGCCTGCCTTTGCCCAGCAGGCCAGCTTAAACCATCCAGTGCAGGGCAGGCCTCCTCGGCTGAAAGCATGTTTTGTTCCAGCAGAACAAAGATGCTTATGAGCCTTTCTGCAAAGTTCCTGTTATCACCTCATCCAAAGAAGAACAGAAACTTATAGCGACTTCAAATAAGGTATGTTGGAGGCACCCTCGTGGCATTCTTTTTGCTATCAGAGATGATAGAGTTCTTCTGAATAGGTTTGGAAATGAAAACCTGTGTAATTGCCAGAGGAAGACCCGAGAAAGAGTTGAGAGTGGGAACCTGTGGGTCATCTTGTGTTCCTTGCTCTTGGGTCCCACCCCAGCCAACGAGCTATGCTTTCTGCCTCTTCGGCCTGGTGGCAGGGCCCAGCCCTATGGGAAACCAGCTTTTATTGCATCTGCTCTCCAACTAACCCTCTTCTTCCTTTTTTCAAACAACCCACAGCCAGCCGTGAAGTTACTCTACAACAGAAGTAACAACAAGTACTCATATACCAGGTAAGGCGGCAGCTAGAAGTGACATCCATACTCACTAGGAAAGCCTTTGCGCTCACCCGCCGGGCCCAGCTAGGTAGATGGAAAGAAAGGAAGATGCCAGATGGGAGCTATAATTCCCATGTACCATAAAACCCACCCTTTTAAAGTATGTAATTCATTAGTTTTTAGTCTATTCCCAGAGTTGTGCAGCCGTCACCTCCAAAGAAACCCTATACCCGTTAGCAGTTACCACCGGCTTGTGCTCACCTGATCACACGCTCTTTTGCAGCAATTCTGACGACAACATGTTGAAAAACATTGAGCTCTTCGATAAGCTCTCTCTGCGCTTCAACGGGAGAGTCCTGTTCATAAAGGACGTCATTGGGGATGAAATCTGCTGCTGGTCCTTCTACGGCCAGGGCCGGAAGATAGCGGAGGTCTGCTGCACCTCCATCGTCTACGCCACCGAGAAGAAACAGACCAAGGTGAGGGCCGGCCCTGGGTGGATGGTTCTACAGGGCTAGTCTGGCGTTTGGACTTGTACAGCTCTCATTGTCTTTTGGGCCCTGGGAGGGCCCAAGCGTAGGTCTCAAAGAATCAGAATGGCATTCCTTTTATGACGCTCGGCAAGCAGAGGCAGTCCTACTGCATCTAGGCTCCTTCCCCTGAGTGTTTACTCTGTAGCCCGCCACTAGCACTGTCTCCGGTCTTCACTGACCAACACTGCCATGCGCGTTTTCCCTTCATGCAACACGTTTCCCACCGTCAAGGCCCCGTCCCATCCTGATCATCAGAGGAACAGGGCTCCCTTCAAGATCTTGACCTTGGCTTTCTAGTCATGACCTGCTACTTACCCACTGACCCGGAGCAGCCCTCCGCCCTCAGGGGGCCTGCTCCGCATTCCTTAGCTCCCACCCTTGTTGGCTTCCTTCCAAGCACGTGTCCCCCTGACTGATGTGGACTCTGTGGGCCCATTTTTATATCACCCACTCCAAACCAATACACTTGACCTCTCCCATGACTTCTGTCTCTGTGCCATCCTGCAGGGCTAAATCATGCTGCAAGGTGCCTTTACAGACCTGGTGCCCTGCTAATTGAACTGGACTCCCAGTAGATCCTCTGTTTACTTGTTCTCCTTGGGCTTAAATGGAAGCCCAGGGGCCTGACTTAGCCTGAGTGCTGGGTGGCGGTAGAGGTTGTAGGCCATGTACGATGCTCACTTACCTGCCCTGTATTTCATGGGGGACGCAGGTGGAGTTCCCTGAGGCCCGAATTTATGAGGAGACCCTGAATATTTTGCTGTATGAGGCCCAGGATGGCCGGGGACCTGACAATGCGCTCCTGGAGGCCACAGGTGGGGCAGCTGGGCGCTCCCACCACCTGGACGAAGACGAGGAGCGGGAGCGGGAACGCATAGAGCGCGTGCGGCGGATCCACATCAAGCGGCCTGATGACCGCGCCCACCTCCACCAGTGAGCAGGCAAGCGGACCTGAGCCCTCCTCCTCTCCTCCCTGCTCTGCACTCAGATCCTATGCAGGCTCCCAGGCACCTTCCACTTTCCCTGGAGTCTGGAGATACTTTTGTAACAAGCCAGATGATTATTTTGATATTTCTCGACAAGGTGAATTGATTTGTACCCAGGCGAATGCTCCCATGTTGCTGACGAGCTGTGTCCAAGGGCTCTACTTTCTGTGAGAACTTCAGAAGCCTCGGAGCCAGGCTTACTGGGTTCTCAGAGGAAAAGTGTGAATGGGAATGACGTGTACGTGAGGACTCTTATTTGCAGTATTTATTTTTGTGGATGTTGACTACCTGTTTGAGCTTCTTGGATGGCGTTGTCTTTGGGATTCAGTTTGACAGCTCTGAGAGGGATCCTGCAGCTGGTGGCCACCAGGGGGTGTCTTCAGGCTCCATATTTCCTAATCCCACCCAGCACACTGGCTGGTTCCTGCAAATCCACCTGGCACTGTCTCCAGACACGGCTTTGCTAGAAGTCCATTCTGCAGGATTTCATGCCCAGAGCTTACTGGTAAATAATGGCGGCTTGTAGCAGTGGAGATGGGACCTGGTCTCCTTTGTGCCTCTAAGTTGTTGTTTAGTTCTAGATACCTGGCTCTGTTTAGGGGGAAGCCTGTTGCTACCTTGGCTGGTCTGAGGTCTGCTACTTCTTGGGCCCCCCACACATCTGGCTAAGGGCAGAGCTGCTCAGCCCTGTTCCTGGCTTCCCTGACTTCTGCCCCTCCACTTGCCCTCCTTGTTGACTCACTGCATTCCAGGAAAGCCATCTGGCCTGGTTACAGGCGTAGCTCACAAGCCCAGGGACCCATTCCTTTCCCCTCGGCCCCCTTCCCTGTTAAGCTGGGCTTACTGCCGCAAGTAGGTGCCTGCCTTTGCTTAGAAATCCAGTATGGCCTCAGGCTCTTCCTCCCAGCCTGTCGTCCATGCTGGACCACCACTCATACCAGCAGTCTCGGGGCAGTTTGCCTGCTGTAAACTTAGCCATCGCCTGGAGATCCCTTGGTGTCTTTGCCTCCGATTTTGACACAGTATGGAGTGGCCATCAGTGAGCAGTGAGAGGATGTGAAGATCCTTCCGGGTCCAGTTAGTGTCCGTGTTCATTTGGTTTAAGGGACGTGTGCGACTGTTGATGGGGATGTGTGCTTGCGGGCCCCTGGTGGTGCTCGCCTGGGGTGGATGTTCTCGGTTACCTACCTCCCAGTCTCCTCTGCGCCTGTCAAGGGACAGAAGTGAGATGTGACTAATATGGGTGGTTGAGACTAGACTAGATAGAGTAGTTTCAAGGTGATATGAATGTGTGTAAGGTGATGGATGGGTTTTGTCCGCTTTTCAAGGGAAACGTACTGTTTTATACCAAAGGTATTAACATGGGCAGCCTCTGACACAATGTATTCCAAAAAAAAACGAGTTTATATTTTGAAATGGTTTTTACAGCTTCGACTTTGTACACACTGCCCTCCTTGCGACAGTTGTATGCCTTTATTTTGTAGCCAAGCCTCCAATAAACCTTTCAAACAATCATGACTGAACCCAGAAATCAAGTACTGGGCTGATGCTTTTAAACGGCTGTGTGGGAAACGTTCATATGAGGCCGTTTGGATTTTATTATGTGCTAAGAAAGGGGGGCTTAAAAATGTTTCTTAAATATTTTATACTGTTTGGGTTGAACTTTTCTAGAAAGTTAAAGTAATGTTTCCTGTAGGAATGGAAAGCCATCAAATACATTGTTTTTAAATGTTTACACGGAGATTGCATTTGTAGAACATTCTGATTTGTTTGGACTTCTACACCTTTTGATCTTGTGTTTCTGGCAGTGTCCCCCTCTTCCTCCCTCCCTCCCCCACTCTTCCTCCAACTTGCGCTTGTGGTTTTGAGTCTTTGCTTCCCTGGGATAGGAGAGGTCCCTGAAACATTCCAGATTCGTGCTGCTGCATCTGGCCAGGAGCTGGCAAAGCATTGGCTGGTCCAGCTGTCATCAAACATACCCTAAACAAAAGAACTGATTTTTCTTTTGTTTGCCCTTAGTGCTGCATAAGTCAGTATTTACGCTTAAGAGCTGTCCAAGTAAAACACTGGCCTAAGATTCAGTAAAGTTTTATTACATCATAATAGCTTACAATGAAAAAAGAAACAGCTTTTGGTCCCTTGTAATCAAGTTGTCTTTTCAACTACGCCATCGGATTGCGGTGACTGGGGGCCTGTGCCCGAGTCCAGTCCCTGGTATAGCCTCTCCTGTCCCTTCCTCCAGCGGCTTAGCAGGCTGGTCGCTGTGCAGGTCCCCGGCCCCCTGCCTACGTATGTTTGTACCTTACAGTGGCTGTTCAGGGCCCATGGTGAACACTCAGCCCTGACCCCTGGAGTCTGTGCTCTCTACACATCTGTGTGTCACTAAGCTTTGTTTCTCTGTGCTATTAAAAAAAAATGCTGTAAGCTTTAGAAGTAGTCACTGTGTTGTACAAGCATTTGTGAACGTATGTAAAATAAAAGTCATCTAATGCTTCTACTTAAGGCAGTTTTCTGGGTCTTTTCAGAGACACCCAGCATAGTGAAGCCACTGGAGTGAGGCAGACAGACCACCTCCTGCTTTACCACCTTGAAGTTGCTCGGGGTGGAGGCGCTGAGTCATTTCTCTGTATTGCCTGAATTTAAGCGCTGAAAGGAAGTCTGGGGCAGAAACTGGGCTTCTTAAAAAGCAAAATGAATCAGCTGGTGCTGCCACTGATTTAATACTAGGGAGGGGGAGACACAGCTCACCCTCTGGAACCCAGAGTCTATGAGAAATGTTAAGGAATTGGGTACATTTCTGAGTTCCATTTATTTAAAGCAAAATTCGAATTTTGCAGCTAGCTTCATGAAATTTCATTACTTACTCTCAGACCACATACAGTACTTCATTGTGCCTTGGGGGCAGCTCGACAAGGGTAGAGAATCTGTTGCCTACCTTCCAGTAACAGGTCAGAGTGCCCATCAAGTGTCTAGCCTCTTGGGGGCCTTCAAAACCACCCTCTTAGGTGACTTGACTCCCTGGAGAGAACATTCTAAGTTAGTGCCACAGGGCACCTGAGAAGCTGGGGGAGGGCTCTGGTGTAAACTCCATTTCTTCAGAGCTGCTGGAACATTTCCTCGAAGGTATAGCTTGCTGGATCAGTTTCCCACTTCCTGGGTGCTTGCCTCAGACATCGCCCTCTATCAGGACTTCATGCGGACAGACACCTGGAAGAGAGACCACGCTTTGGTTTAGAGGCCTCTCGCCTCACCTCCATCAGACGGAAGCGGTTATCTCCCCACCTGTCAGCATCATCCAGGTAGGCTGGAGAAGTCACATTGAGAAATGGGCTCACTGAGGCCTGCGAGCACCTTCAGCCTGAGCCATCCCGGCAGGAAGATAGGCTGTGTGACTCCAAAAGGGACCCAGCTTCTGCCTAAGGCGGCAGGCAGTGGTTCCCACACCTCTGCTCATCACACCAGGCACCTCTTATGTTACAAAACCCAGGCCACACTCCCAGCCAGTGACATCACAGTGCCTGGGGGTGAGATCCAAACCCTGGAGATTCTAATTTGGAGTCTGAGGACCACTGTGACAAGACCTGATGCCTGCGCCATTCAGTGAAAAGCTGGGCTTCGTCATGTAAACCCGAGGCGGATTTAACATCAGCTTTTGGCTCACATTAAGCATGGTAGGTAAGCTTTTTTCTTTTCATTCAGTGTTGGAATCTTTACCTCTAGCATCAGTTCCTTCCTGGTTTTCAGGTATAGAGTCAGGACTAGAAAGAGATGAACCAGCTATGATTCCAGTCAGTCTATAGAAGGACTGAAATTGGTGGAATCTGCATATTTTTTCTTCTGGAAAACTGCTGACCTCCCTGCCCCAGCACGGCCACTCACCACTGTTAACTGCCCGTTTTTATCTTTATAGACTTGTTCTTCTGGCCCGGTGTCGAAAACTATTGTGCCTTCTCTTCCAGGGCTAATATAAAACTGTAAACTTAAAAATACACAAAACAATGAATTACTGACATATTCTGTTACCTCTTTCTCGCAGCCTTTGGTCTGCAAAAGAGATTTATTTAGGAAGCGTTACTAGTTTCAAGGTTGAATTCCTGTTTTGTGTAGAGCTTCAGTGCATATCTGAATAATCCAATGAAGAAGCCACTTCCCCAGCTGGGAAACTTACCCCGCACCTGCTGCTCTCAGATCAGTTGAGCACATTTGGTTCTTCAAGGGGCCCATCTGATGTGTAAGTAACTATTTACATGTCTTCACGCTACAGCTCTCGCAGTGGGCTAGGTCTGCCCTCAGAGGTAGAGCAAAACGGAAACCCCACTTCCCCACGCACCCAGCTCTCTACTCCACGCTCCAGTTTACTCAGCAGGTTGTAAGGATTGGGCGTAATAGGAGCAGAGGTGCAAGGGAGCAGCCTGCTTTCACAGGGGCTCTGGGCAGTGCTGAGGGGGCCTGCCGGGTTCAGTCTGAGAAGCGAGAGCATGGCCCGAAGAACTCGCACCCCGGCCCTGACCTGCTGTGTGATAGTGGCACACCTGCTTCCCCACCTCACGCCTGTGAAATGGAAGAGGTGGCACCTACTTCAGAGCATTTTTCCCTAATCAGTCTGTAAGCAGCCTGCAAAGTGGAGGCCCCCCGTGCTCAACCAAATGTCCCCCAAAACAGGCTTCAACAGCAGAGGTGTGGCTGTCACCTGCTCTGGCCCGAGGCCCACCCTCCACTTTGATACGGCTTCCCTCGGGAACATACTGGGTGGTAAGACCCCTGTTCCCTGAGGCCAGCGAGTGATCCCCGACCCCTTAGTTTCTCAGGAGCCCCAGTCGATGGGGTGAGGGAGGACTGTCTTAACCAGAAGGGTGAGGGTTCCCCCTAGAGGCGGGCATGGGCGGAACGATTAACATTCACATTTTCCTTGATTAACAAACGTGAGCATTGACTGACTTCCTGGGCTGGGGGTGAGACCGCCTACCTTCCCTGAACGACATTTACAATGTTCTCCTTTTTAACCAGCATGACGAGTTTTGTGACCGCCTCAAACACGTGCTCACACTGTAAGACGGCGTCCCCCTGGGGTGGAGAGGAGAGGACAGGCCAGGTTCAGTGGTAGCGATTCAGAGCAAGACACTCCTCGATGCGGCGGGTCCACGGTGTCCACCTAACGCCCTGGCAGTGTGCCGCTGCCCTGTTAGCAGAGACCGGCGGCTGTCGCTTACCTTTTGCTTGTTGGCTTCTGGCGAAACATGAATGACTAAGATTCCGTCCCTCAGATTGCTGGTGGAGACACCTTCAGACAGACCCAAAGTTAGGAGCCAGGAACTGGACAGCTTGACATTAACACAGGTAAAAGAAGAGGTGTACCTAAGGGCTCCCCAACCCCACACTTTTCCCCTCCTAGATGGGCCCGGTGGGGTGAAGGGCCTCCTCAAATAGCAGGCTGTCGAGGTTGTGCACCGAATAAAAAACAGGGTGTTGTAGTCAGTGACTACTCTCCGGCCTGGACACCTGAGTGAAGGTGGTACCACTGATATTTGTGCCAAAATATCAGGCCCAGGCTGGGCCCAGACAGCCCCGGGCTGCACAGGCCCCCCCCACACTGATGTCCTCTGATTGAAGGTTTCATTACTGGGGTGTCCAGGAGCTAAGTCAGTCTAGTGAATTGCCCGCCTCTTACCTTTGAGTGCTGAGTACTCTATTCTCTGCTTGATTTTGGCAAGTTCCACCACATAAGCTGCTTTGTGAGTGAGGATGAGTTGCCGCGGCCTGGCCTTGAAGCCTTTCCTGTCATATTTAATGACCGGGATGCCATACTGCAAGGAGGTTACCATCACTATGAGGGGAGGAGGGTTCATGGGGGTAGGGGCACAGTACTGAGTTCCTGGTCTCGCAGACTCGGGCAAAGCTATCCAAGCACTTGAACAGAGGCTCGGCCGGATTTTTCATAAGCGGGTTTTTCCCGCATCCTGGTGGTACCAGGTAGATTTCACTCCCAGCTCTGCCTGTGGTGGTGTCTTTCAGAAGCTATGGCCCCTGCCTCACGGGCCTGCTCGGAGAGGTCCACAGAGGCAACCACAGCCAGAGGATCATCCAGTCTGGCAGCTCAGGTTTCTGTTCTCTGGGGGCTCAAAATTGGCAGAGCAGCCAGGAGAGCCACCGAGAGCTTCCCTGTTCTACCCGGGATCCCACAGCTACTAAGTAAGACATGAAGCCCAGTCGGCACCCAGGTGCCTTGAGTTCATGGCTGTATTTCACTGAATTTCACAGAAAACCACACAGTTCCTAGGGTGACTGATAAGGACCATAAGAACAGCGACAGGGATCTAAGAGTCATGGTTCCCAAATCTCAGTTAGTGCCCAGAGCACTGCAGCTGCAAGCCCGCCCCCCAGCCCCTCCATGTGGAAAACAGACCCTGTTCTCAGACTCCATCGGGGAAGCCTGTCCGAGGCTAGGCCCCACACTTCCTTACCTGGATTTTCTCACAGCTAATGAGCTGAAGCACTTTGGGATTAATGTCTCCTTCATCTAGGGAGGGAACCAGAACACAGTAAGTCATCACTAGATCCCCCCCTCCCCTGTGCAAGAGCCACTGAAATCTGCTGGCTTCCTGTCCCTCTGAGGCCAAGACCTCGATGGGGGCACGGCCACGGGAAATCCTACGGAGTTGAAATTTTTCCTTTGACTTTTTTAAAAATAGGAAAAAGGTATGTAAATGGAAAAATATACTTACCTATCCGACTGTCGGCAAAGGGCTGATTTAAACTTTCTGCATAGCCTTCCTTCTTTCCCCTGAATACCGCGCTGGTAACCACCTTCTGCTGCATCTGGTGACACACAATTCAACCTACAGTGGTGGCCACGGGACTCAGGGACAGAGAGCTTTACAGCCCTTGGTACTGCACCCTTCCCCGGATAAGCAGTGGGAGCTCCGTCGATTTCCACACAGAAATCGAAACACACTCCTGGCTTTGGCCAAATGCCCTAAAAATGATACTGGCAGAAACGGAGTTGCTACTTATGCCTGGTTTTTCTCTTGCCCTGGTTTCCTAGAAGTGGGACGTGCAGAATTTCAGGGAGCAGCTCCTTCCTTCTAGGTCAGAGATGGGCAGACTAGAGCCCCGGGGCGACTCCAACCTCCGGTCTGGTTTTGTAAGTCAAGTCCTGTCGGAGTGCAGCTGTGCCACTCAATCACATGCTGGCTCTAGGCTGCTTTGGGGCTGCAACAGCTGAATTGAGTAACTGCAACAGAGGCCATGTGACGCACAGGGCCTAAAATATTTACTCTCCAGCCCTTTACGGAAAAAGTCTGCTGACCTGCAGGTACGCATCAACAAAACCATACCTCCAGCAGCACGGGGTCCTGCATTTGCCCTGCAGGGGCCATGGGGATTGTGTCCCCACGGTCACGTGAGTGATGCTGATGATAACAGCTGCCATCTAACAGGGCTCGGTGCTAAGTGGTCTCTACAGGTTTAACCCTCAGGTGCACGAGGCCTGGGCCTAGC